ATATGACAATAACAATAATGATATTATAAATATGAACTTTATTTCATTAGTTTTAATAAAGTCCAAGTCCAAGTTTGACATTAATTATCTTTAGTCTTTATTTGATTAATATTTTGCTTCTTCTGTATGACTTTTGAACCGATATCGAACGATATCAGTGTTCAATAACGTCCGATGCCCACCGTCAGCAGCAGTCACACGTATTCACTTCATTATTATTTGATTTATATTTGATGAAAATTTGATTTTTCACTTTAATCATGAAGTGAATAGAAAGTTTTGCGCTCTTTATCAAACATTGATTGTCCCACAGAAATAAAAATACAAAGAAAACACTGTGAGATTGTGTGAATGGTCAGCAGGGAAAGTGAGTGAATAGATAGTCCATGCTGTACTTCTGACGTATTGTCCAAGGTGATCTACCTTCTGCTCATGTCTTCCTCGCTGTTCACGAGTGATATTTTCACACCTCGACCTTACTTGAACAATGAGAAGAACGCTGTTTAAGCACTGCTTGCTGCCTGCTTTCGTTGCTATGTTTTGTTGTTTGTTGTTGTTGGTTGTGTGGCACGAGTGGGCCACCCGTCCCCGTACAACTCAAATCACACACAGGTGTTGCTCCAACCAACGCCCCCTGGCCGGGGGCTTAATCCATTCAGAGGATTTAAGAATCCATATTGAATTGGGAAAAAATATATTGCAATGTATTGATAAGTCGATATTTTTTTTACCCATTCCCTAGTAAACGTTAGCAGTAGTTTGGAGGTCAAAAAAAAAAATAAAAAAAAAAAAAACTTAACCTCAAGGTATTTAAAAACATTTTACTTTTATAAAATCAAAACCCCAACTATAATGCATAATATAATGTATATGTATCCTGCTATAACAGCAAGCCAGTAACTTCCCCTGTTTAATACAACTAAGATTCTTTTTTGGCTTTTATTTTGTATTATTTAGTAACAGTGCTGATATATATACATTACTGCCACCTTTCAGCAAATAAACTCTAGTTTAATCGATTAAAATAATGTTTAAAGATGTTTAATTAATTAAAAATAACTTACTGTTTACTTTTTTGGGGGCGTTTTATTTTGTAATATGTAACGCGGGTAACGTTTATCGCTATCGGTAATCGGTAGTTTAATGGCTGAAAGTGTCAGTAATATTGAACACAGCTGGGCTGTTTGTATGCGCCGAATTGAACGGAGGTCCGTATTGATTGATTACAGATATGGAGTCACAACGTCCACGACACTGCTCGGTATCGATCAGCGAATAACATCGTTAACTATCGGTTTTTTAAAGGATGTTCGGAGACGACGAGCAGATAACGTTACCGCAAGACGGTTGACGAGTCGCCGCGGTCACCGGCTGCTGCGTGGCGAACCAGACAGAACAGACAGACAGACCGAACAGAGAGACAGACATGCAAGACAGACAGACGGTGGTGCTGTAATTCCCGCACATTCTCACCCCCGCTCCGCAGAGATTCCCCGCGCTGTGTCTCTCGGCCTGCCGTCACTCCTCCCGGACGTTTGAACCGCTAAGAGCAGCGGCTCTCCCTCCGTCCTCCTCCAAGAATGTCGGCGGCAGAGCGACTGTCGCTGACGGCAGCGCTGCGGCGCGTCCCGTGTCAGAGCCGACCATCCCCTCCTCCTCCCTCCTCCTCTACCCTCCCCTCCTCCTCACTCCTCCCTCCCTCTCAGACTCTGAACCCCGCAGTTAAAGCCCCTCCCACTGAGGCCCGGTATGAACGGTCCTACTGATACACCGGCAGAATAACCGGCGGCAGCCTCCCGCCCTCCTGCCCGCTCACTGTGGCCGAGGCTGCGGGTGAAGCGGATTGGGACGCGGCCCTCCCTCCTCGTGCGTCGGATAAGAGGAAGCAGAAGAGCGGGCATGAATCAATGATCCATTAATTGCACAGCAGGCCTCATCCACAGACCAGAAACCGTCCCAGGGTCGCTCTACCAGGCTGCCATGTGGTCGGGTGGCGAGCACGTGTCTGACCCCGAAGTCCAGGACCTCGAAAACTCCGAGCTCTTCCCTGTGTGTAAATGTGCACGCACTAAAGGGTCCAGATTACCCTTTGTAGAAGGCTCCCACTTAACCCTTTTAAACCAGGGGTCCTCCAAACACCGGTGCCGCGGGCCACAGGTAAGCCCCCAAGGACCACATGAGTAGCCCTCCAGGCCTGTGTTAAAAATGAAAATTGAAATATCGCTATTATCTGTTTTCCCAATCATTGTTAAGTCATTGTTTGATAATTATTGGTGAGAAGTCATTAACGTGATCAGTGGCTTCAAATAAGATGAGTATCCATTAATCATTAATAGGATAATCATATAATAATCAGGCAAACTGAGCAAAACTTATTATTTCAGAAGAGTGGTATCAAAACTGTAGCCCTTCGTTTGACCAGTACCCCATGGAAGTAGCTCTCAAAGTTTTCAAAAAGGTTGGTGACACCCTTGCCTTTAAACAGTCAGAATTAAACCTTTCACAG